AGCATACATTATTTCCTTATTAGCTTGTTTCTCCATTTCGATTCTGAAAATACCCTGATGTAGTCTAATTGCGACGGCCCTGGTTCCACTAGCCGCCAGGCTTCCGACGTGGGGGCGCAGACTCGGCGCTGCAGGCTCTTCTTCCTGCTCGAGGCTCTGAAGCTGGGCCATTAGCTCTGAGGCGGGCGGCTGGCTTGTCACAGCCATCCCGCCGCTTCGGGGGAGCAAGAGCCGAGGGGGTTGGTAGAAAGAGAAGCAGGATCTTCGTTCTAGGTGGCGGGAGGTATTTTTCTCTATCCAAAGCAAAGGCTGCCCCTGGAACCGTTTTATTCCTAAATAATTTAACTACATTCAAAGATAATCTGATGTTATTGTAGGAAAGTGTATTTCTAATAAATTCCACTTGATCTGGGTGAATCAATTCAGGCAGCGCATAATTGAGTCTGTTAGCAAGGACTTTAGCAAGAATTTTGCAATCAGCGTTAATTAAGAAGATGGGACAATAATTTGTGCATAATTCCAGATCTTTTCCTGGCTTGTGAATCAAAGTAATAAGAGCAATGCTCTGGCTGGTGGCGGGATACTGTCATTATGTGCTGATTTATAAGTACTTGGAAAGGTTTAATTTCATTTTGCTTCAAGCAGGGCCTCCCTGCCCCCACACGCTTTGCTGCGGGTGTGCGGTGGGGATGGCTGAGCGCTCTCCTCCCTCCCCCCACCCCACCCCCCCCCCCCCCGCCACCGGTGACCTGCTGCCCATTTCCGCTGGCGCTCTGCAGCGAGCACCCCGCTCATCCCCCACGTTTCCCTTCAGGCTCTTATTTGGATTATTTGACGTCAGGGACTGATGTTATTGATGTGTATGTGCGTGTGCCTGCGTGCGTGTGTACGTGTAATGCACATGCAGGGACTCATGCTCTCGACATGCATGTGCATGAGCGCGCACAAATGTATGGGTGTGTAACACACGGGACCCATGTTATTCACATATGTGCATGTGTGTATATGTGGAATGCACACACAAGGACTCATGTTATTGATGCATGTGCATGCGTGTGCATGCGTGTGCATGTGTGTGTGTGTGTAATGTAAAGCCAAGGGTTGCACACAGCCTCAGGGGGGACATTTTTTTCATGGGTCTTTCTGCAACACATCTCTAGGTGGGGAGGCATCAAGAGGCCTTGACTGCAAGCCAATAACATACCTGGTGAACGTGCTGCTCCTGACTGGCTATTGACCAGTCAGGGGACAAATGTGAGCCTCAATGTCCCCGCTGTGAAATGCAGCCATGGGGTGAGGTGCAGGCATGGGGGACACTGGGAATAGCCCTGGGAAAGGCGGGTGCACGGTCATTCCTCTCTGCCCCCACTCGGGGTTCATTGCGGTTCCCGCACGCTCTGCTCTGGGACTTATTCTCCCTGACGATCGGGACAGGGCTGGCCTGGGCCACCGTGGCTTTGGTGCCCCGGGGCTCAGCCTCCCGCCAGCGTCGCGGCAGCGCCTTCTCGCCCCGTTGGCCTCCCCTCGAAGGCGGCCCGTCCACGCAGGCCTGTTAGGACGCTCGCCTGCTAATTTCCTCCACTAACACCCGCCGTGGGTCCCGGAACCCTGGTTAGTTACCTCTGAGAGGCGGCCCGTTTGTTTTCAGCGAGGAAAGGACGTTTCAGAGAGAGGGCCCGACAGGCTCAAGACCACACAGGTAGCGGCGGAACCAAGGCAAGACCAGCCGCCTCTGTTACCAGGGGCCAGCGCCTCCGCAGGGGCGCGCGCGTCCTCCGAGGCCGCAGCGGGCTCGCTTCCCTGCCGTCTGCCTGCGGGTTGGCCCTGGTGCAGTCCTGTCCGCCGGCGGGCAAGGAGCGCCGGCTGCCCCCAGAGCCCGGGTTGCTGGGCGTCAGGCCCCACGGGCGCTGGTTGAGGTCGAATTCCGCCAATGGGCCGGGTCTGCGGTGCGCGCACGTGCCATCGTGTTCAGCCAAACTCACGCCCCTCCTACCTACGCTGCTGGGTGAGGTCTCATCATAAAACCCAGCGAGCAGTGCTCTAACTTCCCTGCAGATGCTATAGTCTTGTTACCCAAACACAACCGAGGGCCCTGGCTGTCCGCTTCCACGCGCAATCCGAGCAGCACCTTCCTCCGTGTGCGCACCAGCAGCACCATCCGGATGCCACGCCCTGCATACAGCCGTTAGCAGCGGGTTCCTTAGGCAGCTGGGTTACACCGGTCACCAAATTGTACCGTCGATGTGCTTGGGGCACGAAGGGTCTGGCCACCGCTCCCTCCCACCGTCCCTCTCCTTCTCCCTGTTCTTGGTGGTTGCCCAGGTGACAGCCACTGGGAAGAGGCAAGGACAAATAACGCAACGGTCACCAGTGTCACCCAGCAAACCGGCGGAGACGTGGCTCTGGCAGAGAGAAGTAGATACTTCTTTGCAGAAAGACCAACCCCAGAAGTGTCTGGGGAAAGGCCGACTGTGCCCACCCAGCTGGGTGACAGCAAAGAGCCCGGCCCGCCCCTGCCAGGCAGGGCACCCAGAGTGCGCTCCTTTTCAGGACCAAGAGCCCTGCCGGGAGCTGGATCCCAGCAAGGGTCAGGCAGGGATCTTGCCCTGGAGGAGGTGGTGTTGGAGCTGGAAATACTCGGTGGGCATAAACGTCAGCCCCCCAAGGCCGTGGGCTGCGGTGACTGATGGAGACAGAGAGCACTGTGCCCCCTGCAGGGAGGAGGCCAGCCTGCAGGCCGGTTGGCAGGAGCCACCTTCAGTGGAGGGGATCTGTGGGCGGGGTCTGGAAGGACAGGGTGGCCCAGGTGAGCAGAGGAGGTGCTCACCTGTCCGGGGATTTGGGTGCAGCCCTGGGGGAGGGTGGTTCTAGTGGGATGGGGAGTGTGGCCCAGGTGCGGGAGCTGATTGTGGGGAGCCTGAGGGCTCAGTTCTACCTTGGGGGGGGAGACCACCCCAGCCCCAGGACAGCCCCTCAGGCCCCTCACAGCAGGCTCCTCACAGCCCAGAGCTGGGGACGGACTGGGGCATCTGCCTGTCTGGCTGGCAGGCCCTTCCCAGCATCCTGTGGGGCATCCCGAGTCCACCTGCTGCAGAGCAAGCCGCTTCGCAAGGGCACAGGTGAGTAGCATCTGTAGGGGCGTCCTGACTGAGGACCTTCTTCTACACAATACCCAGAATTCCATCCCCCAGGCTGTCCTTGGGACGGAAAACTTTTCCTTCCCGTGTCCCAGAATGCTTTTGCCATCATGACACTTGGTTCTTGCCTCTCCTGGCCCGGATGGGTGTCCCGGCTCTGGTCCCTCACCTGGCCACCACATTCCTTTGTCTTCATGTTCCTCCTGCCGAGCATCCATCCCCAATCTGGGCTGCATCTCAGGGTACTGCCCTACGTTCTGGCTGCTCTTCTAACCTTCTAAAGACCCCACACACGCATCTGAATCCAAACAGCTCTTGTTCCGGAATCAGGGACAGTCTCCAAGGACTTGGCGGGGCCTCGGGCCCCTGTGGGCAGAGCTAAGGTCAGAAACAAGGCATGTTGCTCTTTGTTCGGGCTCCGGCTCCTGGGCCTCACCCAGACAGTGGGAAAACCAAGGGAAAGGAGGAGGAGGATACGGTTTCCCCCTAAAGCCAAAGCAGCTCGCCGAAATCCGCAGTGCAAGGCAGCCCGGGGAGCGCACCCAAACTGCTGAGGACGGCACGGTGGCCCCCGGAAGCTCTAATCTCCGCTCTCTCCGTCACACGGAAGCTCCGGTCACTAACACCAACGTCCCAAGCACGTTCCCTTTTGGTGCACTTCCTGCATGTGTGAGTGTGTGCCGAGTGTGCATGTGTGCACCTGAGTGTGCACGTGTGTGTGTACCTGTGAGTGTGCATGTGTGCACCTGAGTGTGCACGTGTGAGTGTGTACCTGTGAGTGTGCATGTGTGCACCTGAGTGTGCATGTGTGAGTGTGTGTACCTGTGAGTGTGCATGTGTGAGCGTGTGCATGTGTGTGTTGAGAGGGAGTCTGCCTGGTGGGTGGAGAGGAGCCCTGAACATCACTTTGGGGTCAAGACTACTATTGCGAAGGGCACATCTGACCAGCTAGAAAATAGCCCAATATAATTAAAAGTAAATCTTTGGTCAGGGGAAATATTTTCACCCAATATGACAAAGCAATTTTACATCGATGCTATGTGAAGAAATCTCACAAAAACGACAAAAAAGCAGTGGGAGCTATCGCCCGCGGATCTGAGCAGACCAGCCACGGGTGAAGTGGTCTGCAAAGCAGAGGAAAGCCCTGTGCACAGCACTCCACCCTGAGTGGGCGTGGAGAACGGCGGCACGCGTATGGAAGCAGAGATTAAACGCCAACATTCAGCAGCGGCCATGCCCAGGCTGTGCCGAGACACGGGCCCTCACACTCAGAGGGAACAGACACCCTTCCAGAACACCGTGCGGAAACCTTCTCATCCTGTGGCTCGGTTCTCCGGACTCATCCTCAGGATATAACCCAAATAGGGAGGAAGCCCCATGGATGCTAATAAAGACGCCGATGACGGCGTTATTGGTAGTGGCAACAATGCGCACAGACTCGCCTCCTGTAGGCGTTTGGTTTGAGCATGTTGTGCTGAATCACCTCCGTGGGTGGTTGAAATGAGGGCAGCCATGAGGGAACGTGGAAACGACCTCAGGTACAGGAACTCAGCGGGGCAGAACACAAAATCATTCCTCCCACTGCTTCCAGGCAGGGACATTGACATGCGAACCGATCAGCTCCGAACACGTGGAGGCGCGGACCGCGGGGCCATGGGTTCATCTTCCCCTTTTAGATTGCGAGTCCGGTGCTCTGAGGGTTGCCGAGCGACCCAACGGACACCCACAGCCCACGCGGCACGGGTGCGTGTAGACAGAAGAGCCACACAGCCCAGCACCGTCACCTGCTGTTTCCGCCGCCCGCCCGCTCCAGGAGTGGCCCACCTCACATGCACACGGGATGGGCAGTTTCGTTTCAAACACAGGAGAGGGGTCCTGGTTACCTAGGAGCACCCCGGGGGGCAGCTGGACTGCGGGGTCTTTCATCCAGTCGTCGTTGGCCAGTTCGATCACGGTGTCCACGTGCCGCACCTGAGTGCAGATCACAGTGCTCACCGCCTCCTCATCCCTGGCGTCCAGCGCAGACTTCAGTCTCTTCACCAAGTCGGAGCTGAGCGGGTAGTCGGGGCGGCAGTCGGAGCTGGACATTGTAATGTCGCCTGCGTGTGGACTAAACGTTTCTTCTCCACGGAGTCCAAAGTTAGCAGCTGTGCCGATAGTGGCTGGGGGATACTATAAATAGAAGAAACAGGCTTGGGTTACAGCTGGGGGGGAGGGCTACCCGCCAACAGCCTTCCCAGCCCCCTTCACCAGGAGACGGAACTACTCGGCCCAAGGCGGGGCAGGAACATTCTAGAGGTGGGCAGTGGGCGCGGGGGGGAGGGGAGGGGAAGAAGGGACGCTGTTTGAAAAGAAAGTTCTCTCGGGGCTGCTGAACCCTGTCTTCTGTGACCAAGAGCGAGACTCCACCTGGAAGTTGACAGGGTTCCTGAGACCGGCTGGAGCCTCTGACCTGTGGGAAGAACACCCCGTGAGCCCCGCGGGACGCTCCCTCGCGTCATCTAAAAGGAGGGTCCGCCTGCCTGTATACTGGGCACGTTCTGAACGGGAGAGGACGGAGTGAAATCCTTGGTGTCCGAACTCCGAGACGGACTGGCTGGTGTCAAGATGACAACATCAGTGTATAAGTGACCAAGAAAGATGACCTAAGTGTCAGCGCTGTCTCCGTACCCCTCCGGGCTGGGAGCGTGGTCTAAAGCACCCGATTCCACACCCCGAGGGACTGCAACGCCCTCAGGTTGATGTCTGTGCATTTGGGGGGGGGGGCGTTATTCTCACGACCTCTGTGTCTGGTGCTCCTGGGTCCCCCACGTCAACCCGGGCAGAGCCCAGCTGCCCCAACAGTTCCCGGCGTGTTGTGGTGACCTGAGGGGCCCAGGCTGCACCATATAGCTTTCAAGAAATTAATACAGTTTTGGATTCTCTGTGAATTGCCATATATTTGCCATATAACATCGTATGGGTTGAAGGTGTGCGATGTTGATGCATTCACAGGCCGCGCTAGGACTGCCGTGTCGTGCCAGCTGGTGCCTGGGCCACCCACATGCTTATCACTCCTTGTCCGTGGTGGGAGGGGGTAAGGCGTGTCTCTCAGCAGTACTGCTGTCTGTGGTCACCGTTTCTCCAGGACTCATTTCTCTGCTAGCTGCAGTTTGTATGCTCACAACATTCCCCGTTCCCCATTTGGCTTTTGTAGAGAAAGCCATCTTGCACCCTTGTCTCGCCACCTCTTCCCTTTCTCATGTTCTGTCGTCTCCCCGTGGGACGGTTAATTGGATGTGCCAACCTGGGTGGGCCATGGTGCTGATATTTGGCCAAATGTTATTCTGGATGTGGCTGCAAAGGTGTTTTTTGGATGGACTTAATGTTTAAGTTGGACTTTGGGTAAAGCAGATTACCCTCCATAGTGTGGGTGGGCCTCACCCAATCAGTTGAAGGGCTACTTGGACACAGACTGATGTCTCCCGAGCAAGAGGGCCTTTGGACTTGAACTGCAACTTTCCCGGCGTCTCTAGCCTGCTGGCCTATCCCTCAGAGTTTGGGCTTGCCAGTCTCCACAGTGGTGTGAGCCGATTCCTTAAAATAAACTTCTCTCTCTGTCATAGTCACTCCTCCTCTTGGCCTCCATGAACGACGTTGCAGGTTCTGTTCCAAACTCTGACACTTTCTGCAACATGTTTGGCATCTGAATTTGAGGAGCTAGCTCTGGGTTCCTACCCAATATCTGCTTTCCTCCTCCCGCTTCACAGAGCCTGGGCTTCCTTTGCAGTGACAATGTCCCCGGGTCCTGGTGATGAATCATGTTGATTTAAGTTAGTCCTCTCAACCCTAGTCTCCTTTGCTGGCTACTTCATGCTCCGCCTCTGTTGCAACCAGTTCTGGCCAGCGAGTGTGGGCGTGGTCTGCCCTGGTGCATGTGGGAAGGGGACGTAGTGGCTGGCACCTCCCTTTCTCCCTCTTTCTTTTTTCCTTGAACACTGACATGATGTGTGGAGCTGTGGCAGCCCTATTGTAGCCATGAGGTGACAGGCTTGAGATGAAGGATTGGTATACTAAGGACAGTGGGATAGAAAGAGGGGGAGAGAGAGCCCTCCATGACATTTCTGAACCCTTGTCCCAGTTCTGGGCTGCCAACCACCTGGCTCCTTGTCTTTATTCTTTGAGCAGTGGTCAAGTGTTCTGTGACCAGCAGCTACAGGTATCCCTGGTTGATACAGAATCATGTTCATGCTGCCATTCAAATCACGGAAATATCCTGCTCTCAGGGTAAAGAGAGGCAGCAGAAATGGCTCAGCCTGTGATAAAGAATGTAAATCAGCCCGGCTGGTGTGGCTCAGTGGGTTGAGCATCGTCCCATGGACTGAGAGGTCCTGGTTTGATTCCTGGTCAGGGCACATGCCTGGGATGTGGGCTGGATCCCCAGTGGGGGGCGTGCAGGAGGCAGCCGATCAATGTCTCTCTCTCACATCAATGTTTCTCTCTCTCCCGTCCTCTCTAAAAATATCAATAAAAACATTTTTAAAAAGAATGTGAGTGAACCCACTGGAGTGTCCATGCCTTAGTTATTGGACTCCCATTTCCGTGATAAAATCTCACTGACTCTGCAAGGACAGCAGCCTGGCCCAGAGTCCCCGAGTGGCGACGTGATGGCACCACGGTTGAAGGTCATCAATGAGCAGGCAGCCAGGGCCACTCGAGGGACTGCCTTCCGTGTCACCGGGACTGAAAATAACCTCTGACGAAGGCATTCCTGGACTCCCTGGCTGTGGGCTGTGCCCAGAAAGGGGTCATGAACCACTGGCTCCATCTCCAGCCCGGGCACTTGGCCAACTTGCTGAGAGTCTGGTTGGCCCCTGGTTCTTTCCTTGGCCAGAGAATGATGGGTGCTGAAAGAAATGTTTGAACCTGAATTTCCAGGCATGAATGCTTTGCAGCATCAGGTGCCTTCCATTAGAAAGAAATCTGGCACCAGGTCATTGGTGTTAAGTACCGAGAGAAGGAGCCGGTGACCACAGGGAAATGACCAGAATCTGGGCAAGGTGATTCAAAGAAATAACCCGAGGATGGCTAGAGATGGCTATCAGACTCCAAATCAGAAGGGAGGTGAAAAGGAAGCATTTGTGAGACAGATAATAAGCTGACAAAGCCTCAAACTACGGTGCTCGCTGATCTTAATTACCAAGTGATCTGCTGGGTGTTTAATCAGAGGCACATACGCTATGCTAATTATTCGGGCTAATTTTGTTATAATGCAATTCTTTATCAACCCTGCTATGTATAAATTAGGAATTGAAATGTAACTAACACAAATTATATTTAAGGCAACATGAATTTTTTTATTTATTTCAGTGTGAAATCTTCCAATCCCTTTTTCTTTATCTTGTCTTTTTGATTAGCTCATGGGTCGCCCCCCAGACACACTGCCCACCCTACCTCCGTCCTTGAGGGGGAAGGGACTCAGCACTAATATTTCCCCCTTAACCTCTTGGAAATCTTATATTTCATTCTTTCCTTCTGCAAATGTCCTTGAAAGGTACGGACTACATTTAAGCAATCATGGGAGACAGGTCCTGGCTTTCTCTGAGCCAGACAGAGGGCGCCTCATTGTTCTGCTGTAATTTTAAGTAATCATCGGAGGGTACCATAGTTCACGGATTGTCAGTGACATGTTGACTGTGACTTCTGCCAAGTTACGTTTTCAGATGTGTTTAGATGGAGAACTCATGACTCAGCTCCCTATTGAGAAGCACAGGGTTTCGCAGCACGGCTCGGCCCCCGTGAGGGCAGGCCGGTGTGGAAGCCCAGTGACCTGCGCAGGCCCATGGCCATCAGAGGACGCCAGCGTCAGAACTTCCTCTCGAAAGGACGCTCCCTTACATGGTGGAGACTGTCTTTCTGAAAGTAGCAAGCGACCTCAGATTCACTGCTGCTCCGCGGTCAGGGACAAAGCAGACGAGCCAACTCTTGTCACTTCTTCTGTTTCGGTTTGGGATCAGTCGAGAGGAGGCGTCAGACAGAGGGGCCCAGAACGTCAGCTTCGTGCCCGACAAGGCCACTGAAGAATGTGTCTTCAGATCCGAAGCGAGAGGAGTTTGCTGGCAGTCCCTGAACTAGGCGCCACCCACATCACTGGCAGCCCTGGGCACCCTTTCCTCGCTTCCCCCACCAGGACTGACCCTTCCCAGGAAGCAGAGACCAAGACCACCCTCTCCTCAGACAGGTGGACCCAAGAGAATCCAGAGGGGCTGGGCCATGCGAGCAAGTTCTCTGTCCGAGAGATACCAGTAGGGTCCCCCACGGAGAAAGAGATGAGAGTGGGGGAGGCCAGGCATCACACACCAGTTCTTGCAGGAGACCGGCGGCCGAGGGGACCTCTAACGGTATCCTACACATTTTGCGAAGTTGTAGCCAGTACGAAGTCAGGGCAAGAATAAGAACAATAAAGAGCTTTAAAAAAAAATCAAAATAAGCAACCACTCTCTGCAGATGATACATGTATGAAATCCAAGTCAATCGATGGAAAGACATTAGTTAGAACTTATAAAATGTTCAGGGAGCTAGTCCACTGCCCTCCCAAATGAGCAAAATGGATGGTTTTTCCATATACCAGCAAATTTAGAAAACGGGGTGATATATAGAAGAGAATCCTGGAAAAACAGAGTTATATCAATGTTTAGGAAATTCAATGAAAGAAGAATGTTGAGAGACAATCTGCCTTGTTGATGGCAAACACACATAACAGAGCTACGATAATTCTCAGCGTGTGATGGTGGGAAAAGGGATGATGGAAGGTGGACAGACAGGCACAGAAAGTTCCGAAGCAGGAACACACGCAGGTTAGGTTACAAAGTAGCAGCCTTTAGTTCACCAGGAATGAAAGGATGGCCAATGAATGGTGTTGGGATTACTGGGAACATAAAACGTTAAATCAGTCATATTATGCATCAAAAAGAAGTCCCAAATGGTTAAAAAAATGTAAATAACGAACGTGAAATCATATAACGACTAAAGGAGAATAGAGATACATAGTTTATTACCTTATGGTGAAAAGGGGCTTCCTCAGTATTAAAACAAAGACAGATTCCAGA